GGGAAGGGGAAGGGGAAGGGGAAGGGGAAGGGGAAGGGGAAGGGGAAGGGGAAGGGGAAGGGGAAGGGGAAGGGGAAGGGGAAGGGGAAGGGGAAGGGGAAGGGGAAGGGGAAGGGAAGGAAGAGAGGGGAGAGGGGAGAGGGGAGAGGAGAGAGGAGAGAGGAGAGAGGAGAGAGGAGAGAGGAGAGAGGAGAGAGGAGAGAGGAGAGAGGAGAGAGGAGAGAGGAGAGAGGAGAGAGGAGAGAGGACAGGACAGGACAGGACAGGCAGACAAGCAGGCAGGCAGGCAGGCAGGGAGGGAGGGAGGGAGGGAGCCAGCGAGCAAGGGACTTAGGGAGTGGGCGCGGGTCCATGCAGCCACGAGTCAATAAAACCAAGGAAAAGGTTGAGGTGGCGAAAAGCATACAAGCCGTAGTAGCTTGCAGCAACCACTGGTTGCCACCTCCAGTGTACATCTCGACCCCGAAGTCCAAGGTCTGCTGGTGTCCGATGTCCATGCCAGATATGCCTTCTGCTCCATCACTATCGGTCAGAAACAATGCCTGGTATAGATTTAGCAAAACCTCAGCTTGCAGCTGTCCTTCCGACCCACCCCAGAAAACCAGAAGCGGGGAAAACTGGAACTGTCTGGACAAACATGTTCTCATTGCTTGGAGGAGGACGTGGTGGGGCTATCTATCAGTAAGGGACAGTGCATAGTACAAGAACCACACATCAGGAACAATCTAGATGGATTCGGTCAAGTCGAAGCTACGTAGGCAACACTTCGGTCATCATCCTTCATGGTCAGAAAGGTAAAGGCAAAGGTCACAAACATCATTCCTCAGTCAAAAGCAAGCTGCAGCAAGAGAACCTTTCCGACTGCTCACACAGGAATGCCGAAGCCGCCAAGGCACCCATAAAGGTAAACATGCCGATCATAGGGGCAAAGGACTGAAGAACGGCGATGATGAGAGGCCCCACCACAGGAACCACACGGAATTCCAAAACGATCCAGAAGCACCTGAAAGCATCACAAACATGCAACAACAAGCAGCTGATTTCCTTCCACATTCGCAACCCTTCCCGGCCGCACCTCAGGAGGATGTTCACAGCTGCCAAAACTTTGGCCTCTGGGGTGTTCACTGGATATTTTGTGGTGGCCAGGATGATGAGTGCAAACCTCAGCTAGGATAGCATTGACAAGCTTTGAGTGCAACAAAATACCAGTACAGCCGCTTCCCTGCACACATTCGTGGTGACGGTGATTGATTGATACCTACATCATCTTCCTCTATGAGCTGCCTGTATATTCAAGACACTTGAGGTAGTTTCTGGAGCAACTCCGTCAACTACTCATGCCACATCTGCCAGCATAAAGCTCCTTTTTGTCTAGCTCATGGAAGGGAAATCAAGAGCTCTGCAGCACTGTACAGGCGGTTCTTCAACAGGCCCTGAATTTGCTTCTCATGCTGTTCACGGTGTCCATCAAGGTCTGAGATGGAGCTTTCTTCCCTGGCAACTCTGGTTGCATGTATTGGTCATCGGTGGAGACTCGGGCCTTGGGCATCTCCTCCTCCTGCAGGATCTCCTCAACCTCGAGGTGTTGCCACCGGTGCCGGCGCTTGAAGCTCACATAGGACCAGTAGACAAAGACGCAGCTGCTGGCAGCGATGAAACTTGGAACGAAGTTGCTGGCCCGCTCAGCTAAAACACCAGTCATCAGGAGCACGAAAAGAAACAGGCCTGGAAAATACGCACATGTTTGCTTCACAGGTCCATTTAGTGCGACCGAAAACAGCAACAATACTTGCCAGAGAAAACAGCAAAGCATGTTTCTACATAATGACGTCCTTTCAATTCGGCCGAATGGTTGCCAAACATGTTTCGTTTCAGGAGCGTCCAGCCGCCTTGTTGCACCTGCTCCAAGCTGGTTACCCAAAACACGCCACCGAGATCGGATTTCTTCTCCTCCACCCAAACAAATAGAAAGCCGTGCATT